TCTTCCCTTCCACGTCTTTCCAACTACAGCCTGGAAAGACCATGAACACCTTGCTACAAGGTGCCAGCTTACTCCTATCTGAGAAAACTCCTTTCATCCTAAATGCCCTGAATTCACGGTTCTCTGTGAGCCGATTCCTAAAGCAGAGGAAACTTCTCAGAGTTTGACGCTCTTAAGGAAACACTCATCCAGGAAAACAACCCTCCCTGCAGATCTGAAGGCTGGGCACAGAGCACTTTGCCCATCTCCGGCATATAAACCCACATTTATTCTAGGGCAGCGTCCTCGAATCTCCAAGCAAGCTCAGGTTCCACAGTGCCAGGCGCTGGGCAAGACTCTGCCCAAGCAGCTGCCACGGAGGAGAACACAAGCGCGCGTGCAGCCCCTGGCTGCTGAACGCACTGAGGAGGCTGAAGAGGCGAGCGCTCTGCGAGAACAGCGTGGCCCGCACGGCTCTGGAGTTAACTTTTTCCAGGGAAACACTAAATGCCAGAGTCAATTTAGGGGAACGATGTTTTTATTAACAAACCACAGCCAAATTCATTGCTTCGCTTTCCAGGGGCAGTTTTCCCAATGATACCAGCCACCTGACGCCATCTCAGCACCTCTCTCTTCAGCTTTACAGGCCGAAGGCCGAGCGCCACCCTGCTCTCGGGAAGCTAACGGTGGAAGTCAAGTAGCATTAACAAGGGGGATGAGTCTTGGAGTGGGATTTTCAGTTGGGGTCTAACTCAGTTCGTGTCACTATGATGAAAGCTTTACCCCTGACTTGAACAGGAGCGGAATTCGATCCACAGCGAGCGCTGCCTTTGCTTCTACGAGCAGCTTTTGGCAAGCGGCCGAACCACCCCGAGAGGCGCTGCTGCATCCAGTTCTGCAATCCCCCACCCAAGGGCTGGCAGGGACCCTGGCAGCGAGTGGCAGATTCCCCAGGCTCCTGCCTCGACAGCGCCGCTCGCAGGCCGGAGCTCCCCTCCCACCTCCCCTGCAGCACCGCGCCTGGTGGATGTAAAGGACTTTTCGGAGGAGTCACCTCCAACCGCAGGCCCACGCCGACCCTCTGAACCCAGGCAGCAGCACGGCGCACGCCGATCCGCTCGCAGGGCTATGAAACCGGACTGCTTAGGCCACAGGCGAGTTTTCCCACAGCCAGGTCTTACCGGTTAGCCCTATCTTCTTCCGGCAGGTGAAGCAGCGATTCTTCTTCTGTTTCGGTTTTTCTGAAGCTGTCTTGCCCTCAGCGCTGTTCTGGGGGATTTCGAGCAGGGCAGCTGAAACAGAGGCAAGAGTTCTGCCACCGTTCTTGATAAACCAAGCAACGCGTTTGGTTTGCTACAGGAGCTGCTTCAGGCCCTACCGATCCCGTGCCAGGCACCTCTGTGTGCACGTTGCCCTGGCTGACACACCCCAAACTGAGATTTGCCTTGTCCCACAGAGATCTACACCTCACTCAACCTCCTGTTTTCTCTCTGTTTCAAATTCCTCAAGTCCCAGGCTCAGAAACACCAACGAGATATTAGCTAAGGCATCCGCAAGGCAACGCAATGCCGTTGAGCTCCTGCTGAGAAAAGGGAATACTAAGTAGAATTACCTGGTGCTCGCCGTGGGTTAACCACGTGTCTGGACAGTCACTGCCACTTAGCTGATGTACAGTAACTCAACTGCACAGCTGAGCCTAGAGTTAATCTTGGCAGGAAAAAAAAAAAGTTAACCCCTTGTAAGTACTAGTAATTATTTTTGCTGACTCTTATGTAAGTGTTCCTCATATGTAGGTCTCAGAATGCTTTACACAGATACTCATCACTGTCTCTAATCTACCAAAAGGAAAACTGAGCTCTGAAAGCCAGATTGTTAAAGGTCACAGACGCTTAGCAGGATTTCCTACAGTACCTAAGCAGGTTAGAGAAGTCAACAGGAGGGAGGAGCTCCAACCGCTAGCAGATACACACCTGCAGTGCTGGCTGCTCTGAAAATCAGGCTAAGGAGACAGAGGCAGAGATAGCTTTGTGGATCTGACCCTCAACAACTTTCTAAAAACCACCTGATCACAAGAAAGGGGCAGGCTCTTCCAAACCTCTCTTTCACCAAACAGTCTCTCACCTGCCTGTTGTAAACTGTCTCCTGGGCTTGCAGGCAAGGGATTACCAAACCCAAACCGCAGTGTCACATGAGGTGACTAGGGCCTGCCTCTTGAGCAGCCAATAACTCTTGGGTTTTTTTTAGCTTTGAATGAAGCAAACTGTCAGCTGAACTAAAGGAGGGGGTCTCCAATGCAGCGGCACTTGGTTACAGCTCCAGTGCAACACGGCAGCTCACCCTGTAACTCATCAGCTGGAGAACGTACCCGCCGGGCAGCGACCCCCGCGCTCCTCTATCGCTTCAAGGTACCAACTTTGCAAACAAAGCAACAGCGTTAACCCCCCGCTCTGAGGGGCAGGTCTGCCTCCCCTCACACCGGATGACAACTCAGGCCAGCAGCTGCCCCTGGGCACCGTCACAAACACGTCTCCTCTCTCCCAAGCCTCCCCTGGATCCGTCCCCTTTCCTCCCTCGAGAGATGGCAGGGAACTGTAGCCAACAGCAGCCGTGCAGCAGGCTGTGGGACGCTCCGGGCTTTCTGCCATTCACTAGGATAGGCGTCATGGAAGATTATCCTCCTGCCAGCGAGTCGAGGGCTGGCAGCTACTCAGCCCTCAGCCCACAAAGCAATCTCTATCAGCCTGCTCTCAGGCACAGCGTTTTCTCTCCTCCCTGCTTCAGGAACAGACAAACTGTTTTCTCCTTAGCTCTCTTGCTAGGGGTACCTTTCCTGATGGGAGGTAACAACTTGGGCAAAGGCCAAACCAATTAGTCTACCTGATGAGGAAGATGCTGATGGGGCTTCTTCTGTCTTGATGAATTCCTCTGCCTCGCTGTTGTTTTCTTCTCTGGATATGCTCATGGCCGTCATCTGATGGGTCACAGGAGTCTGAGCACTGGGAGCATTTGCAACAAACAAACAAATAAACCACAGAGCAAACACAAGCACTTTCTTTTGATGAACAGTTATGTGGGAGAGATCTTCAGCCCATAAAGTTAATTTCATTACACTCAGAGGTAGCTCAGGTACAGCAGGCCAATTCCCCTCGAGATTTGGGACCAAAGTTCTTTATAGACACACGTGGAATAAATCTGTAATGATCAGAGTTTCCTCTTCCACCCAACTGTATCTCAAAGCCAAGGCAACAGCCCATCCAAACAAGCCCAGGGACTTACGAGTCAGGACTGTAACGCCACGGCAGAGCTCAATGCCGTACGTACTTCCTTCCTATCACACATGACCGAGGTCCCTAATCCTGCTGTCCCAGCTTCCAGACTGGATCATCACCAGGTGCTTTCACTTAGGACTGAGTTGAAACCAAACCGTTTAACACAGCTAGTGACAGGCAAGGTGCGCTGGCTCCCAGAGAACCAGGACACCACTTAGTTTACTACAGGTTTTAATTTACTAATGACCCTTCAGTACCTGACTATGCATCAGTCACCATCATCAGGGACAGCTCAATCTTCCAGATAAACCAGGGTCACGATGAACAGCGTCTGATCCAGCCCACTTTACAGATCCCCTTGGCCATACACAGGATGACAGCCTATGCCTTGGGTCCCAGAGCTGGTTTTTAGCACGGCTGTAGATCTGCACCCCCCGTAGACTACGCCCCTACCTGGCTGTTGCATCCTCAGGCGTGGAGTCTCCCTCTGCACGCTGCCCTGCAATGGAATCTGAAGCCATGGGGCTGCTGTTGGGACCACTGGGTGCTACGAAACAAGATCACAGTCTTGGTAAACTCTTAAAGATGTCACCAAGTTCCTCAAGTGCTTGACAGCCAAGGAGAAAGCAGGATGAGCACTTTCAGCAGGCTTCAACCTCTTGCTCCCTACCAGGAGCTGGGAGGGCGCACCCCTGTTGGGATCCCTCCCAGATCCCCTACTGTTAGACTCTCCCCTCCAAATTTGTGCACAGGGCTCTGTGGGGACAACGCATCAGGGCTGGATGGACCTCACTGTGACCCAGTGCAGCTATTCTTACATTAGATCAGGAATGAGTCCCTGTATCAGGATCATAACACCCCTTTGAAATCGGCTGCTGGGCTTCCTGAGAACTGCAGGCCTCGTTTATGGAGATCTGTTCAGCTCCTCAGGATCTGCGAGCTCCCTTTTGAGGGACGAGGGTTTATTCGCAGGAGTTACGTGCTGAATGCCTTCCAGTACCGTGTGGGTTTTTTAACACTTGCTAAAATCAGGCTTCAGTCACCCATGACACTCCCATCTCCCTTTGATTCCCCTTCTCTTCCTCAGCACTGCAATGCAAACTCCACATCAGCATAAATATTCTCCTACCAGTATAAACGTGCTCATTTACCAACATACCTTGAACCCAACATTACTCTGCAACTTCTCCAAGCTGTAAGAACTAGATCCTCACCTGCAGAAAGCAACTGGCTTCAATAGAAACGTGTTCGTTTATGGCAGCTGAGGATCTAAGTCTGGGTCTTTAGAAAAACCCTTTGTCAGGAAGAGCTGTGCTCCTAGTACATATTTTGGGTGGGTAATTCAAGGAAAGCTATTATTACACGCAGGAACAAAACTGCAGAAGATCTCTAGAAGGCGTTTCTTACCAGTATTGCAACGTCTGTACATGGGGCATCTGCACAAACTCTCAGCAAAAGAAAATCCTGCTAATGGTGGCAAAAGCATCCTTTCTGTGCACCTAGCTGCCTCCCAGCTCGGGGATATGTCACCTATGTTTAGCTGCAGGAAACAAACCTCCTACATCATTGCTTTTGATTGTCAACGCTGTTAAGATAAGAAAACCATACAAACCCAAAAGGCCAAATTCTTCCCAAATAAAATTTCACTTCAGAAATCTGTCGTGGTTCCCAGCAGCCAGCACGTAACTCAGGGAGCAGGTAATAGCTAAAAACCTGGGCCACTGTCAGAGCAAGTGAAGTTTTACAGTTTACTGGAAGGTGCTGACTGGGATGGGGTTTCGCCAAACAGCTGGGACGGGGAAGAAAACAACTGACCCGCTTCCAGGGAACAGCAGCGCTCAGAGGCTCGGGTCTTTGATTGGGGGTATGCGAAAAGGAAAAGACAGGAGTTTTCTAGGAGGGAGTAAATCTGCTGGTGGGCGGTACCAGTACCGTGCTCTATCCCACCATGCTCCATCCCAGCTGCTTAACAAAGTTTCCATTCAGGTACCCATTTAAGACAGATTTCTCAGACAAAACTCCTCTACCTGCAGGGCTTATCCGGTCACTGCTCTGCTGTCTCTGTAGAAACTCCTTATAGCAAACGGAGCACATCCCGTTGGTCCGGGGACTGCCATAAAACCCACAGCCTGTGGTACACAGCAGAGGCACCTGGGTTTGGTTTGTCTCCTGAGCCATCCTCTCTCCTCCAAGGCGCCAAGCTACAAACAGGAATAAAAATGAGACAGCTGTGAGGGCCGGCGCGCTCGCTCATTGTGCGCTGCAGCTGATCAGGAAGGAGCACAAAGGATCCCAAGAGAGTCCGGTTCCTCCATGTGCACACCACCACGATTCAAGTCCCTCGACCACGGAATAACCCAGAAGCTCATAAGCAGCCACAGGATCCAGGTCCTGGGGCCTTCAGCCATCCAGAGCTCAGCTGCCAGGAGGCTGCCCAAAGCCGGGCTGAAAAGCCGCCGGGAACCAGCTCCCAGTACTCCCTCCTCGCATGAGGCTCCCTCAACTCCTGGTGAAAGACAAGCACGTCAGGCCTGAGTGATCCACTCTCCAATGGCAACAAGAAGCGCCATCGTAGCACAACTAACAACTCCTGCAAACACCGAAACAAAGACCGCCACTGAAACGGCCCGCGTCCAGCCGAGCAAGTTACATTGGGCGCTGAGCGGCGTTTGTTTTCATTTCAAGCCTGTTTTACTTTTTTAGTTCTCAGGAAGATGATGTAAGTGACGCAAAAAGAACCCATCGCCTCTCAGTTCTGACATACTCATGTATTTCCCGACACGTGCTGGTGCATAAGGGGAACGTTAGCATAGTTAGGCTGGAAATAGGGCTAAGGTTTCTTTCCAGCAGCAAGATGCAGTTCTGGAACACCTTCCTGGGGGAAACAGCAGACACAGCGAAACCTACTTTTAAAATGAATGTTAATAATTTGTCTCTGGATCGCACGCAGTTACCT